TCTTTCACTTCCTGTTGTCTCACCCTCGTTCTTAACTATGAATAGTTTGTAAGTGAGATATTTGTAATTTGAAGACTGCCTATATTAGAAAAAGAAAGGGAAATTCTTGTCATTTAAGTAAAAATTGAATTCTTCCTTTGAAAAGAACACCAGATGTATATGTATTAATCCAGCCGCACTTGGAACAGAATATTCTCAGACATACTAGCAAGGTCAGCAAGGATACCTGAACAAATGATTAGAAATACTTGTGGTATGTGGCTATATAAATTCAGTGATCTTGGATTATTTGTTTATGCACCTTCTTAATTCTGATGAACAATCCCACAGTGCTTATATACTAATATTAAAAAAAACTGAAAGAGCTCCTGTAGAATCCAAAAGGCATCAATTCTCCATTCCAATGGCTCTTTAATAGATCTAGTTAAATCATAACCCATTGTTCCCTTATTTAAGACAGACACACCAATTTTGCAAAAACCCCTATGCATTCTTCCAGTTATGAACAATTTAACAGTCTAGTATAGATTTTATCACAGTTTGAATCAGCATACATGATGATGGATCAATATTAGAAGTATAAACTCTAAGTCAACATTTGAAATAGATATGAAATACTCAAGAGGTTATATATAATTCTTTAGAATCATTTATAAAAGCGGCAGTTACAGAGACAGCAGTTTCACAGTGGCTATTTGTTCAAGAAGGTGCCTGCTGAATCATAGGACTCAGCTGTGGCAAAACATTGTAATTTCAGGCATGAGAAGCACTACTGACAGTTATCTACATTTTATAGTTCAGTCACACTTTTTTATTTAATGTCAGTATACAGAGGACAACCCTGGTAAATTATTCTGTAATGTCAAGTATTTTAGTGGGTTCGTTCAGCTGAAACAGTGACATAAAATATTAAAAAATAAGCAGTATGAAACAAACATGATTTCTTAAAATTATAAATATACCAACAATACTTATTAAAGCTTTATCATTATTGCAACAGTCAATTTAGTTTTAACAATTTGTCAGAAAGGCTCTTATGAAATTTATTCAAGTTGTCAAGAAATTAGATGGATGTATATAAAGAAAATACATATGAATTTTACTGTTGATTTTTCATTTTATCATTACAAATTTGTACAGTATCACCTAATGTGTCCACCTTAAAACAAATTCATGTATACAGACCATAAGTGCAGGAAAAGAAATCTTGGCTTTATATCTTTACACAAGTTATGTGACAGTTAAATTAGCTGGTTTTTTCTCTTTTAACATAAGCAGGCCAGCAGTATTCTAAATGCAAATTTAGTAGCTTCAGTGTGATAGGAGGGGAGGCATATAGTATTTTTAAGTACAGAACTGAGTTCCAACAGATAGAGCAATTCCCCCCCCCCCCTCAAAAGGGTCTCAGTAAGGAACTTTTCATCCTAGTTTGAAGACCCACATAAAAAAGGCTCTCTCTATGCTTCACAAGAAGAAAATGATCCATACCTGACTTGGCATCTTCTTTAAGAGGTGCCTTTAGCTCCCATCCCTTGTAATAACTGTGTATGGCAATATTTCAAAGAATTGAAAAAGTTTGTTTATGGAGTGTATATTTTAAGATCTTTCATTTGCCCCCAACCTCAAGACTGATTTAGCAGTTCTCAAACTCTGAATGAGATATTATGTCTTACGATATAAGGATATTATTCAACAGCACTTTATACTTCAATCGCAACAAATAAAATGGAGTAGTGAATGTGTCTTTTACACATGTCCAGATATAATAATTCAATATATCTGTTAAACACCATTAGCAAATACAGAACTCATTTAACCAGGATGCTGTATTATTACTTCTGGTACTGGACAACCGAAGAATTTAAAAACTAGATTTTTTTTCCCCTGTACGATACAGTTCAAATAAATATAATCAATGTTAATGTGCATTTTGTTCTACAAACTGGTAACATGTTTGCTGGGGTATATGCTGCCATTACACCCTGCTCTTCCTTTTTTTTAGGGTTGTCCTTACAGTGAGTCTTTAGAATTAGTGCCAAGTTTCCCTAAGCTTAAAAGAGGTTGTGGTGCATGATTGGGAAGGACGAGGCTTTGTCACTGAAGGCAACATCTAACAGAAACATGTATGACTAGTCCTGCAAAAGATATTCAACAGCCTTCCTGCTGTCTCTATTAGGTTATAATTGCCAAAGACATGGACAAAATTTAGAAGTTTAACTTTTACCAGTAGCACAGCAAATATTTTATACCGTCAGTAATGAGGAGCTTTAATGCCCCAAGAGTAGGCAGTTGCCCTATAAATTAGCACAGATCTATATTTTCAGCTTAATATGCAACATGGATTTACTCCACATTTTGGACTGGACACCACACTTTAAGCTTTTAAAAACATTTCCTAAAAGCCATATGAAGTGATTGGGGTGTGTTATATGAGTTATTTAAAGCAGTCTAATTTTACCTTGGAAGGGGACAAAAAACCCACAAAAAACCCAAGGAATCTCAGGATCTGGAGTGCATATTAAGAGGACCTCCTACAGTCGTAGTGCATGTAGTTTTATTCCAATTTAGCAGCATATCCATCTACCTTCTGAGTTCTTGATATGGAAACTAAATTTAGATTTTCCAGCCAAGGCAAGTAAGCAGCCAGATTATTACTGCTTATTTTAACCCCATTCTAATATCCCATTCCATAGAAAACATATCATTTGCTATCCTGACTGAACCAATATGGCAAAGACAACTGACATCTTCTGGCAAAGGCAATAAAGACTTTTTGCTGATGAAAATGGGAGCGATTTTTCAGGGTTTTCAAGGACAAATGACAACATAAACAGGTAGCAGCTTAAAATTATTTTTAAAAGTTAAATATGGGTTCAAACATCAGGTAAGACCCACACAAAATGCAGTATATAGCCCAGGGGGAAATATGTTACCACTACTGTTTTTGAAGAGTCATTAAATAGATGTAGAGTTAAGTGCTCTTGTATAAAATAAAAAGAATGCTTATTAACTCATTTCTGGTTAAAAAAAAAAAGATTTCCGTGGCCTGAGCCCTGTAAACATTGCATCTATCTTGCTAGTTTAGGCCAGCTGAATGAGCTCACCAACTGCAAAAATAAAGATAGTAATATAATAACAATAATAACAATAATAATTTGAAACCCAGTCTAAGTAAACACGTCCTAAACAATATGCCATTTACATCAGTGTGCGATATTAGTTTTCAATGGTCTAGTGATTAGCATCAGCATGAAACTTACCTTTAATTAAAGATTTCCGCATTGGCCAAATATAGAAATCCTAGCTTTTGGTACTGCATACTCTATCTCTGAAATATTTGAAATCCATTTCAAATTAAATTGCTGCTGCAAACAAGTTGAGTTTGACCAATACAGTTTGCAATTCCTTTACAGAACATTTAATTTATAAAAAATGGAAGTAGCCCAAAGGCCAGAGTTCAGTTACTTTGCAATGAAGCAGAGCATTGAGATTTTTCTACCAGGCAACATCTGAAAAGTTACTCTCAGAACTGTCTCTGGGAAAATGAACAAAACCATAAAACATTTCCATAATTATAGCACAGATAAATAAATAAATAAATAAATAAATATAGTTTTCTCGTTTATCTTCACAGTTTGTTCCCCACATCCATGAAAGCAATGCCACACATCCCTGGATTGTCTAAGGCATACTACAGATACAACATCGCAAACACACGTTTGATAAGTTTATGGTGAAATGTTGAAATGTTTGCCACACAGCTTAGATCGTATAGTCATAATGGGCTTCAATTTCTGTAGGATAGCTTTTTGAAACCTGTGCACTTTAGTAGTTCTCAGTGACATTTTTTCCAACTAATTTTCAGGGCTGACTTTCAGGAACAAAAGAAAAGTGCAACTCTACACCTTAAAAAAAACACAACTGTCAGTCTTTTAGGGACTCATTACTGGTTTATCTATCAATACCCATGTGCTTCTCTAAAGCATTTCCACACAAACACCAGACTCTGCTAATCTTTACTTCAAGCCAAGGATCCCCAAAGCCTTCATGGGTAGCTTATGGGGAAGTCATCTTCTAGGAGGATGAGCTCAAAATGACCCAAGTGCGTGTGCAGAAGCCACATCAAGTTTCTTTGGATCTTGGTCACTGAGCTGCACATTGTTAAATGAGCATTTGAGACAAACCAAGCATAAAGTGGTATAATTAGATAATTATTTTAGCTGTGGTCAACATAAAAGAAAATGTGAATGCCACATTTAAGTGGATTTAATGGAAAATGGATGAGTTAAAAATTCTTAACAAGTACTTTAAAGTGAATGGAAAAATATAATACAAGATACATTCCACACAGGGACGTTTTAAAAATATGACTTCTGCACATAGAAATGCTTGGAGGAGATTGATATTAAAAATCAGAATATTACAGTGCATATTTAATACCAGTTTATTCAAATTTTAAATGGAGACACTACAAATTGTCTTGATGATCACTGGAGCATTAAACGTTCTCAGTACTATGACTAGCTTTTGAAAAAAGTGAAAATACATCCTGCTTTATGGATTCCTGCCAAGTAAGTGTTCTAAATTCAATTGCCCAAAATGCATGTTATTCCATACCAAGGTACAGTCTACCCAAGCTGTGAACAGACTATATTCCTGAATGCCCTTACAATTTTACCCTCACTAATTGGTTTTTAGATTTGTCTCAAACATGTTATACAAAAATAGTTTTGAAAATATAGGAAAACTATCACTGACACTTTGGATACACAACACATCTCCGGCTGGAAGGCAACTGTATTTCAAAAGGACTTTATCCGGGTCAGACACTTCAAATCGTTCAGAAATATGGCATGCAGTATCCAAAAGTATGGCTCTGAGGAAATAATTTTTTTACATTAAGCATAAAGAAATTTATATTCAACATTCAGTTATGTTTTGAGAAAAACTACCTATTCAAGTTCTACTTCTTTGATGCAGCATTAAGGATTAAAACTTACCACTTTACCAGGCCTTGCCCATGTGCAAATAAATCCCTCCTGACAAGCAGTGACTATACAGTCTTCAAGAAAAATTAACACAGTCAGTCTTTCGTGTGCTATCTTTTTACAGATAAGAGGCTCTAACAAAGGAACATCTTCCATTCTGGGACACAGAGGCGTTCCCAAAGTTTTTGCTGGGTCTGTTTTGGTTTTAGTAACTAGGTTCAGTTTGTCACTGCTCTTGCTAGATATATGTCCCATACTATGGTTTCTCTTGTGGTCTTTTTCATGGTGTCTTTCCTTCCGGTCGTGTAGCGATAAGGTTGCAAACTTACTAACGCCGGAGGCAATGGCACCATCCATGACACTGCTTTTACTGCCAGAATTGGAAACTGCAGAGTGCGGAAGGCTATTTGATCGTGGAAGAGGAGGGGGCACAGAGTTCCCAGGCGTCGAGATGCTATTTCCATTACTTCCTGGGTTAGCCCCGCCACTTCCTGCAGGCGGACTTGTGGCATTCATGACGTTTGTGTGTGTCCTTGCCCTCGAGAGGGGTTGGTGAGGGAAGAGAATGTCTTCTGTTAGGTCCCATAAACACAGCTGCGTGTCCTGGCCAACTGAACCAAACCTATATGTTACGCTTACTGGGCGACTATCTGTAGAGTTCCTTTTTGACAGCCTAGACTGTGTGCTGTTTGCTCGGTCTCTTCCAAAATGAAGAAGGTCTTGGAAATCCTCATCGCTGCCACTAAATTCCATTGGGTCGCTTTCTTCTACACTAGTGGTATACGGATCAAAGGCCACAACGCTCACCCATGATTTGTGTCCATGGCCCCTAGCTATAACTCGACAATCCACAAAAGACCAGATAGTCACCAAGTCGTCCTCTCCCCCTGTTACAATGTATTTTCCATCTGGACTCCAACATGCACATAGCAGTCCTCCAAAGTAGCTTTTCATTGTACCATGCAACTCTACTGAATCAAAGTTAAACACTCGCAGAAAGCCATCCTGGCTTACACATGCCAAGAACTTCCCGTCTGGGGAAAAAGCAAATTCGTTCAGGGCACCTTCACCTACTGTCCATTTAAGCAAAGGATTTCGCGTTGATTTGCTCTTGCATGTGTGGACTGCAAAGCTTTCTCCTTGTTTAAGTAGCTGATAGTGTGGGGCTGTGGTGCCACAATTGTGTTCCACATTATACAAGTACATATTGCCACTGGAATGAGCTACTAGGAAGAGACTTTCTGAACCAGGCACCCATTTTACACAAGTTACTCTGGACTTGTCTATTAGTCTCTGAAAAACAAAGAAAACATGTACAAAATCAGAGCCATCTCAGTGCTGCAGTTTTCATTTTTCTGTATCTGTGCTTAAAATATTAAAATATTCTAACTATGCCCTGAGGTATATAAATATGAACTAACAATGCAATCATTGGTTTAAATTGTTGAAATAATAAAAAATTAACAGTTTAACAAAAAAAGGGAAGTCTGACCCAAAACATTGTAAAGAAAAAAGACTCACCTATTAAAAACCTGATTAGAGATGTAAAATCTAAACAAAAACTTAAGGCATTAGTAGGAACATTCATATTTGAAACAAAGGTGTTATGTTTTAGAGTTCCAGCAGATAACTGGCAAGTTTGTGTAGTAATGGGATCACTGTAGATATTATAATATATTGATATGAAAATAAGAAGTTGCTGCAAGAGAAATTTATAGATTTTTGTAACTACACGGTGTGTAAACATACTACTTAGAAACTTGGCTGGAGGCAGAAGAGGAAAGATCCAAAATCTGGATAAATTAAAATTCAGCAGTCATAGATAACAATATTTTATGTATCCAGATACATCAAGCCAACTAGTTAAATGACAGAAGAGATTTTGAAGTTGCCGATTGTACCTTCCATTACCTCTGGTGAGTACCTGTAAACCAGTGGTTCCCAACCTGTGGTACATGGATGAAAATATGGCCTGAGGTCTCACCATTACTACACTGTTACAAGGAGAGCGACTGGTCTAGTGAAACCCTCTTATAGTGCCAAGGCAATGAGGATGCTGGGAGGGGAGAGACTGACTACCCATGAAAGATTACTACTACCACATCAACTTTCGATTATTAAGATATAGCTTTCAGAGGACGACTACTGGATGGCATATGTTCTGTCTAAGAAACTAGAACTGATGTGGTCTATCCAATGCAATTTTCTGAATCAGCATACAAATAACCAATCCAAATCTAAAGTTGACCAAAAATTGATTTGTAACCCTTTTGGTACTGATGTTGGAGAGTGGTCCCTGGTCAAAAACAGGTTGGGAACCACTGATGGAAACAAACTATGAGATGTAGCCTGTGAATTTATTAATTTACGCAATACTACTGCCAGAGCTGGGGAAAAGGTGGGACAAATACATACAGAAAGAATAAATAATAGAAAAAACAGCATAAACAAGAATAATAATATGCTAGTTCCAATTGAGAATGATATTGGATTATTTCAACTTGGTGATACTTGGTTACACCAAAATATATAACTCTTGATTAACAAGAGTTATTTGGAACTGGTAATAATTTGCTAATAAACTGATTAATCCCCCCTGCAAACTATATAAAAATAGTACTGAAGTATGAAATGCGACAACTCCATCCTACAGTTCTTACCTATCATACTTAATATACTATTAAAAATCAATTAAGTATCTGTAATCAAAACATTATAGAGGGAATGAATGATACAAACACAAGCATCATCTTTTAGAAAGCATGATCCTATCTGGATGAGAAAGAGAAATAGAAAACAGTGGGAGGTATAAATCTAATCAAACAGTAAATCACAAACACCGTATTTTCTGGCATATAAGACAACTGGGCATATAAGACAACCCCTACTTTTCCAGTTAAAATATAGTTTTGTATATACTCATATATATAAGACTACCCCTCTTCCAACGCACACCAAATAAAAATTTCAAAAGCATCAGATTTGATTTCAATATGGTAATTTTCCTATTACTGTGCCTCCTTCTCTGCCTTTCAGATCTCGCACATGTGCACCTGCACTGCTTCACTGCAGTCTTCAGGAGCGCGATCTGAGAGGCAGAGGAGGAGGTATGGTAATAGGATACAAGGATGGGCCAGACAGGTAAAAGAAATGTGTTTTTCTGGGCCCAGAGCCACTCTGTCTTTTTTTCCCATACCCCGGGCGCCCCGGACGCCTGCAGCTTGCTCCACCCTTCACTTACATCTTCCCAGTGAGGCACCCCTTCACCTCACCATCAGGACCGCATTAAGTCCATGAATCCTGATGAATTGATTTTTTTTACCATACTTGTACAGCGTTGCCCTTAATGCTTTCATACAGTTGCTGCATACGGCAGGGACATGGCCACTGCCATTTTTGAGCAACCACAGATTCTCCAATCCGGATTGGAAGTTTCAGCACCTGCTCTATAAGATGACTCCCGGCGTATAAGACAAATCCTGCATATAAGACAACCCCTGACTTTTGAGAAGATTTTCTTGGGTGAAAAAGGAGCCTTATATGCCAGAAAATATGGTATATAGGTATATAGGATTAGAAGATGATATTGCTGTAGCAGAGTGGGAAACACTGTCTTCTGATAATAACCAAATAAGCAGCTGTTGAGGCAGTGGGGAATAGGGAAAACTGTCATATTCTCCTTTATTATTGAATATTTTAAATAATCTCTATTATATTTTCTTACACTAAGAGGCTTTTATGTTTTCAACCAAACAAGCTGACTCATAGTAGAAAGGTAAGTTAACATTTGTATGGATAATTTACAAAATAGTACGTGTATGCTTGCATGCACCAAGAATAAGGACATCCACTTACTTCCTCATTAAATAATTTGCTAGTTTCTTTTTTAATAGGATCTATAAGTTGCACCTGCCCTGCAGAGAAGCCCACTAGTAGAGAAACACTTTCCGCTGTGGCTGTTAAATGATTGAAGTCATGACATGTCGGTTGTGTTCCTTTGTATATCCTTTTATCTATTGGTTTACTCAAATCAGCAGCCTGAAAAAACAAAAACAAAACAAAAACAAAAGTGAGATTAGCAATGAGCAACACACTATTCAGGTGCTTTACAACAAAACAAGAAGTATAATGTTGTTGCAACCATAGAATCAGAATTGAGGAGCAGACAGGTTGAAAAAGCCAGCAGAAGCAGACAAGTTATAATCAGGTCTTACATTCTAGCAATTTTTAATACATTCAGTAGTCATTATGTCCCAAATCTTTTTATTTTTCTTCTGGTGGGAGTAATATTCTGGCACATACAAACTGAAACCAGGGTAGGATCCATAATAAAAGTTGGCATTATCTGGGCTTCCCAGTTACACAGTGCATGACTTAAGCAAAGCACTGCAATATATACACTGATGAACGTATATACCTAGGCATTGCCTAGGTCAGTGGTTCTCAACCTGGGGTCCCCAGATGTTTTTGGCCTACAACTCCCAGAAATCCCAGCCAATTTACCAGCTGTTAGGATTTCTGGGAGTTGAAGGCCAAAAACATCTGGGGACCCCAGGTTGAGAACAACTGGCCTAGGTATACATTTCCTTTGTGGCTTTGTTTTCTTCCTCCATTTTCCTCATATACCTTATCTCTCTCTCTCTTTCCCTTTCTTTCCTTCTTGCCTTACTTCCCCTCATATGCCTCCACTTCTTTCTTCCTCTTTCCTTCCTTTTCTTTTCCCCCTCCTTCCTTTGTTCCTACTTTCCTTCTCTCTCCTCATACACATACCATCTAGCAGTAGTCAATTAATTTCACTCCTTCTGTTCCTGTCCCATCACACCTAGCAACAGCCAACCCACTTTGTTCCTATTCTTTCCCTTAGCTCTGGGCCCAAAGGGGTTTTTTTTGTTTGTTTTTTAGTTTAAACCTCTCAATTATTTAAGTTGGATAAGGAATGGTATGTAAGCCAGGTCTGGTCCAGATCCATGCAGCCATATATGATCCATGAAGCAAATACTGGGGGGGGGGGGGTATTTAGTCAGATATCAATTGTATAAGTTCTCCGACTTAAAAAGATGAGAGAGGCCTGTAATTGACATCATAGGTAGACCTCAACTATGAGAGACAACATGAGAAAACGCATCCAGAAAATCACACTGTCTGATTTTTAATGAATTTATTTGCAAATTATAAGTATTTGGTTCATAATAAATATTTGGTCTGTAAGAAAAGTTCATCTCAATACTTGGTTATATATCCTTTATTGGCAATGACAGAAGTCAAACATTTTCTGCAAGTTCTCACAAGGTTGGCAAAAACTGTTGCTGGTATGTTGGCCCATTCCTCCATGTAGATCTCCTCAAGAGCAGTGATGTTTTGGGGCTGTCGCTGGGCAGCACGCACTTTCAACTCCCTCCAAAGGTTTTGTATAGGGTTGAGGTCTGAAGACTGGTTAGGCCACTCCAGGGCCTTGAAATGCTTCTTACAAAGCCACTCCTTCGTTGCCCTGGCAGTGTGCTTGGGATCACTGTCATGCTGAAAAACCCAGCCACGTTACATCTTCAGTGCCCTTGCTGATGGACTGAAGTTTGCACTCAAAATCTCACGACACATGGCCCCATTCATTCTTTCATGTATACTGATCAGTTGCCCATGTCCCTTTGCAGAGAAACAGCCCCAAAGCATGATGTTGCCACCCCCATGTTTTACGGTAGGTATGGTGTTCTTTGAATGCAACTCAGCATTCTTTCTCCACCAAATACGACAAGTTGCGTTTCTGCCAAACAGTTCTACTTTGGTTTCATCTGACTATATGACATTCTCCCAATACTCTTCTGGATCATCCAAATGCTCTCTAGCAAACTTAAGTCGGCCCCAAACATGTACTGGCTTAAGCAGGGGGACGCATCTGGCACTGCAGGATCTGAGTCCCTGGTGGTGTGGTGTGTTACTGATGGTAGCCTTTGTTACGTTGGTCCTAGCTCTCTGTAGGTCATTCACTAGGTTCCCCCGTGTTGTTATGGGATTTTTGCTCACCGTTCTTGTGATCATTTTGACCCCACAGGGTGAGATCTTGCATGGAGCTCCAGATCGAGGGAGATTATCAGTGGTCTTGTATCTCTTCCATTTTCTAATTATTGCTCCCACAGTTGATTTTTTTTCACACCAAGTTGCTTGTCTATTGCAGATTCAGTCTTCCCATCTGGTGCAGGGTGACAATTTTGTTTCTGGTGTCCTTCGACAGCTCTTTGGCCTTCACTACAGTGGAATTTGGAGTGTGACTGCTTGAGGTTGTGGACAGGTGTCTTTTATACTGATGACAACTTCAAATAGGTGCCATTGCTACAGGTAATGAGTGGAGGACAGAGGAGCCTCTTAAATAAGAAGTTACAGGTCTGTGAGATCCAGAAATCTTGCTTTTTTGTAGGTGACCAAATACTTATTTTCCATAATTTGCAAATAAATTCGTTAAAAATCGGACAATGTGATTTTCTGGATGTGTTTTCTCATGTTGTCTTTCATAGTTGAGGTCTACCTATGATGTCAATTACAGGCCTCTCTCATCTTTTTAAGTGGGAGAACTTGCACAACTGGTATCTGACTAAATACTCCCCCCCCCCTGTACATACAAACTGACACACACACACACACACACACACACACACACACACACACAGAGGGGAGGAGGAGGAGAGAGAGAAGATACCACTATACCAGTGGTTCTCAATCTGTGGGTCCCCAGATGTTTTGGCCTCAACTCCCTGAAATCCTAACAGTGATAATCCTGCCGGGATTTCTGGGAGTTGTAGGCCGAAACACCTGGGGACCCACAGGTTGAGAACTACTGCACTAGACAAAAGCAAAATGCTGGAACAGAATATTGTAAAGTGGAAGTTTGTTCCCTTCTAACAGGGATGGAGAACATATGATTTTCCAAATACTTCTGTGCTGCAATCCCCCGCAGTCCTTTTAAACACATAGTTAGAAGCGAAGGCTGAGGGGAGCCACTGTCCAACATCTTGATCCCCACCACTTAGTTTATATCAACATTTTTTCCTGACATGTAAAAACAGTGAACATAGGTTTTGCTAAATCTTAAGGTCACTCCCATAGTCCGATCTATTGAAGAGTACCTCTTAGGTACTCTTAGGCAAATAAGTTTCTATCCCATCTGAATTGAACACAAGCCAACGTCTTTCAGTCTTCCAAGTCTTGTGGGTAAAGGAAAAGAAAGTATCCCTTTTTGTAATACACTGAAAATAAAATTTGACACAGCTTAGACAACAGGATCAGCCACTTTATAGGAAAATCCTATGCATCACTTCCTCAAGCAAAATACTATATGCAACAAAAGTCATATGATGCTGTCTTCCAAATGACAGTTCTCCAAAAATACTGTCAGAAAGTAACTCCAGCCAGAAACACCATTAATGGGAGCTGCATGTGACTGCCTGTTTTTGGTATACAACGCGCACACAAAATACGGTTCATTGTTTAGTAATTTATCTCATTTGTACTGAAGGTCTGTATTACACAGGGCTTCTTTATTTTTTCCCATGACAGAATACTTAGTGGTGAAAGATGGTCTAATAGGAACAGCAAAGTCTTTGAGTCAAAAACAGACAAAATATTCAGCACGGAGTTGAGGTAAAAAAAAAAAACCAAGTTGTACAATGAGGCCTTCACTCTCTCATTGTAATATTCAAGCATGCATACACATGTCACTACAGTGGGCCCTTGGTATCTATTGGGGTTTGGTTCCCGGAGCCCCAGTGGATACCAAAATCCATGGCTGTTCAAGTCACATTATATATATATAATGGCAAAGTAAAATTGTGTCCCTTATGTAAAATGGCAAAATCGGGAATTGTTTTTGAACTCTTTTGTGTATGGCTGAATCAGTAAATTCAAAATCTGTGGATACAGAGAGCCAAGTATATTATGTATGTAAAGAAATCTCACAAAGTTAACTTTTCTCAACAAGCAGACTGTTGTGCGAAACCCTTTTATGCATTTAACCTTTGTAAATTTTCTCACAGCTAGTAAAAAGGCAACAAGAGCTCTTTTTCTTCCTTGTTGAGGCTCAGAACTGTGTCTGTAAAAAAAAAACTGCCTTTTGCCTCTGTGAACCAAAGTACATGCACGTGTGAGTGTGCACACACACCCTGCAACACAGATACTGAATCAAATAGATACAAATAAGCAGCAGTTATGATAATTCAGCTAAGCAGTTTGTACAAAAATTGTTCTCATGTATTTGAAAACTCTTGAGATTAGCAAAAAGTATGTCCCACAAGCAAGAAGAAAACTTTATGGTTTATCATTCTGGCAAATCATAGAATCATAGAATCAAAGAGTTGGAAGAGACCTCATGGGCCATCCAGTCCAACCCCCTGCCAAGAAGCAGGAATATTGCATTCAAATCACCCCTGACAGATGGCCATCCAGCCTCTGCTTAAAAGCTTCCAAAGAAGGAGCCTCCACCACACTCCGGGGCAGAGTTCCACTGCTGAACGGCTCTCACAGTAAGGAAGTTCTTCCTAATGTTCAGATGGAATCTCCTCTCTTGTAGTTTGAAGCCATTGTTCCGCGTCCTAGTCTCCAAGGAAGCAGAAATGAGAATGGGGTAAGCAAAGATTTACATTCCTAATAAATCTGTGAACATACTGTGACCCCTGTGCTCTTTGCTGCACATAACTAGTGCTATGGACCTGCCTGGCTGTAGTGGACTAGATGCAGTGACTTCACAATATGACAGCATCTTCATCTGGCTAAGTGTGCCAGGACACTTAGCCAAACAGTTTTTACTATCAGAAAATTCCTCCTAATGTTTAAATGAAATCTCTTCTCTTACAATTTGAATCCACTGCCTTAAGCCTTGTCTCTTCTCAATTTGACATCTTTTCAAATATTTAAATTGACTATTATGTCCCCTCCCAGCCTTCTTTTCTCCAAGCTAAACATACCCAGCTGCATCAGCTGCTCCTTGGAGACCTTGGCTTCCAAACCTTTTATCATTTTGGTCACCTTTCTCTAGACACATTCAAGCTTGTCAA